GGGTTCATCCATGGAAGTAGGTACTGCCACCTTACCAATTCCTGCCGCCAAGCAATAATGTCAGCATTACTTTGTTCCGGTTTTGAAGGGTAAGGGTGTTGGTGAAATTACAGGCACATGGGATTTGTCAACTTATGTCGCAGTGTGACGGGCGCAGTGGCAGTGCCCCTCAGATCTTTACGATTTAAAGCTCTGAGTGGCACTACAACTGTTAATCGTACCATCAGGCGCACGACTGTCCCGTCCCTTGATATTATAAAAAAAAATCTTTTTAATACCTACGAGTGTGGTTTCTGCAAGAGCACTGAGTAGGTATAATTGGTATTTCTTTGCCATAAAATGTGACTTGCAACTGCGATTGTCTTTTTATGTTTTACGTAGATAATAAGTTTCGTTTTATTTTTATAATAGGTTAGTTCGATAGTGCATCCAGGTTCCTTATTATATTTCTATTTGCGAGGGTTTGTAATAGGCTCTCAGTTGTCACTATTATTATTTAAGTTAGTTTTAGGCTGTTGATCGTCTTTTTAGATAAATAAATAAAAATATATTTTAATCATTGCGCTATAATTGCTTTGGATGCGTCGCGAGGGGCGCTCGGCCCCTAAGACGCTGCACCCGTGTGCGCCGTAACCCTGCAACATAAGCATAGTTGAAGAATAGTTATTTGTTCAACAAGAGAGCAAAGTCGTTTTTTGGTGCGAGTGCTGTTTTTGAGTCCTGAGCAAGCGAAAGATTCTATAGTTGAATCACGAGCGTAGCGAGTGATTCAGAATTAGAATCTTGAGCGAAGCGAGGGACTCAAAAATACGAGCTGCAAAATAACTTTGCTCTCGCGTGATACATACAACTTTTCACCTCAGCAGCGAGAACATATATATATACTAAAGGGACAAGTAATAAAAACACGTCATGAAAGCAAATGCATCATTGTATATTTACAAAAATACAGAATTTACAAAAAAATTAAAAGTGGAACGTGAAGTTTGTACAATTCTGTAGATTAAAAGTTACTGTTTTATTTGGAACAGTAATCGTCGTAGTGTTTGCTACTTGAGTAGTGGTCGAGGTTTCATTATGAGTTGAGCTGGATTGTGACCCTTCCCGCACCGTAAAAGTTGGTGATTCTGGGCGGGTTTGGGTATGATTCGCATCACTGGAGGTGCTAGGTTGTGCCCAAGAATGCGAAGTCTGTTTTAGGTTTATCGAATCTATAATACGCTTACAGATTTTTGATTTATTTTCTATTGAATCTTCGATATATCCTTCAGCCACTGTATTTGATCTCCAACCGCCATGGCGCTTCAACGTTGTGAGGTCAGCTCCTCCATCTGCCAAAAGAGTGGCTGATGTTCGCCTGAAGCAGTGGCCAGTGTATAGCTGCGGCTCTTTCAAATCTAAAAATGTTGCGATTTCTCGTGCAGTCGCTCCTATTTTATTAATACCCATCGGTTGCCGCGTACATTTTCCATTACGATATTGTATGAAAAAGCGGTCTGTGATCGTATTGGGAGGGCGCAATGCTTTATATTTCTGGACAACGTGTGCGTATTCCTCACGGACGACGAACGACCTGTCTATATTTGTTTTCGTATTTGGCAGGTTAATCAAAAGAAGGTCGCTGGAATGTTGTTCAATGGCATTAGGAGTTAGATTCAATAACTCGTTGGAGCGGCATGCTCCGTTTATTCCAATGATAAGGATGACCTGAAACATAAATAAAACGTCAATAAGTATTGTGTCTTTTAGAGCAGTCTTAAACGTGGATTTCTCATAATATGTAGCGTTATTTTTAACCATAAAGTTCCAATACAAGTCGCCAAAACAACACATTTAAGTAGGTAAGTATAATTATGTTGATAGAAATTGATAACATAACTACCAAAGTCCAAATTGTATTAACAATTAAAATATAACGCTACGACAACAGTAATAATATTCAATACTTACTTTTGCGGCTAGGAAAGTGCAATCTGGAGCTTCATTAAGAAATTTTTCAATATTAGCAGCCGTGAAAACTTTCGATTTTTTTGATTTGTGGCCGACGGCCGATCTTTTCAAAAACGCAATCAGCTTTGCGTAAGTGTTTATATGGACGTTATTTTTAGTTTGTAATGTAGCTTTCAACATCGAATATATACTCCACATCGTTGACGGCTGTTTTGTATGCGACATTTCAATGAAATAAGACAGAAGCACAGTTTCCGACATAGTGTTTCCTGTGCCCTTTTCGTGCCTCCATTTGTCAAAATGTTCGTAGACTTTCAGGTACTTTTCACGAGATTTACTAGGCAAGAAACTTAGTTCAGCATTTTTAACAGTTTCAACTAACTCTGGAGGAGTTAAAAAATTGTCGTCTTCACTGGAATCGCTCATATTTTCTATTTTATTACGTAGGTAGGTATCCAATTAACTATCAAAGAAGTACCTATCGCAAGCAAATAAGAAATTTCGAATTAAAAAAAAAAGAAAGCGCGCTTTTATTTATTGCGTTCCGGAACGTTCTCGCTTGTATTCATTGAAATCACACATTGTAAATATTGTTATCTTTAATTGACGTTATAAATTTAGCATATTTTTATTGCAACACTTGCTTTATTTTTAATGAAAATTGTAAAAACTAAATTATCATAGTATAAAATCGTATTTGTATTTCTCACATAATTTATCTTTTAGATGAATTGACGAGTTTCCGAACGTGCACTCGTTCAGCCATTTTGTGGGGGTCTACTATGTAGCTTAAATATCGAAGTACGAATAAACCATAATTTTCTTTTTCCTTTTTCTTGTAATGAAGTGAAAGGGACGGAGCGACTGATTTTGAAATATGTCGAATTTGTATTAGACCCCTTCGCATTAAATGACAAGTCTCCACTTAAAAAGCAAAAAGCTACTTTTTCTCACGGAGTGAGCAAAATAAGATTTTGCTCACTGATTTCACACAGCAAAATAGCCTTGTTCGAGCTGCTGAGGTGAAAATATTATTTGCACCGTTTAATGTTGTCTCTTGGAACGACATATCTTTCCTATTACAATAGGGTAATAAAACCATTAATATTTCTTTTACTCAAAGCCTGTACCTGCCTGTACATGTATTTAAATGATCTTGGTGCGCTGAATGCTTTTTCTGAATTCTAATTTTGAATTACTTCTTTACTTATCAGGTCGTTGTTTTGTACCTACTGCATAAAATACCAACTCTTTTCTTACTAATTCAACAAAGTTAGTTCCGCATAATTGTGTCAAAAAGTGCCAATTGGGTGCGTAAAAGTGTTTAAACTAGTTATTTGCACTATACAGATGACACTTGCGTTACCGAGACGACTTTTATCCTGTTGAACTCTAAATATAAAGTGATGAGACGAATCTGTGCAAATAATATTTCGCCAACTACTCGTATAAAGCCTGCCACTGATTGTAAACCTTCTTCGATACACAGTTTCATCACCGTTAGCAAAAGCTGTTGCGACTAAACATTTACAAATGTACCTAACTTAGAATTTAATAAGAAAAACACCTTTTCCCTCACTAGCTCGAAAAGGCTTTCTTTCTCCTTAGAAATCTGCGCGTAATAGATATTTTTGATATAAGTGCGGAAAGTTAGTCATTATTCACGAGTCTCGAGGCTTCTTCAAGACGCGAGACAAGTGAAAATGACAAATCCGCACGTGTATCAAACGACGTTTTTTAATACATTTGCGAAAAAACTACATTGAAAGTAAAATAAAACAGTATTTAAACAAAACTCATTTTCTGCTAGTAAATTAAAATAATGAAATACAACCACTGCAAAGTTAAAAGTCTATGGAAATCTAGTTCTAACGTGCTGTTTTTGTTTATTTTCTGTAATATCGGTCTGTAACCAGTTTTCTTATATTGAAGTCCTGGTACTTTTGTTTAAACTTCATTAGGAACCCGTGCACGGTAGTGAGATACAATTTATCTGTAAAACATAGAACAAATATATACATAAAAATCTCGCCTGTCACCCATTCTGGGGTAGGCAGAGACTGTGGACCTCCACTTGATACGTTCATTATATAGTATTTGTAAATAAATATAAGTTTTAATGACGAATGACTTACGTCACAAAGCACATAAATATTAAATAAATATACAACTTCTTTAGTTCTGTGCTTAAGATTTGAAACAACAGTAAATTAAAAGAAAATGGAAAAGTAAAAAGCACTAGTGCGAGAAATCCAACTTTCCGCACGCTTTGTAGTGCGAAAAATACCACGTTTTGAGTTTATTTTAATTCGTTGAAGAACTAAAATAATTTCAATAATCGCTTAATAACACAAAATAAAAGTACAAGCAAGAATAAAAATTTATGAGGTGTAAATTCAGAACGCATCCGAAGATTAACTTTTCGATCGATATATTCCCTTCAGGCGTTTACGCCTATAATATATTGACCAAGTAGAGGTGATATCTCGCCAGAGATCTGGATGTCCGATGGCAAAAGCGGGAGGGCGAAATACACCATAAGTACCACATCATAACTTAGAATTTAAAGTCATAGGTACGTGTCGCCACAGATATTCGAACCGTAGACTTCACAATTGAAAAGCAATCGTTCTTCCACTGGGATATCACCGCTCTTATTTCATTATTAACTGCCTCCGTGGCCGAACGGTTACCATGCCGGACTGACACGCAGAGGTCCCAGGTTCCAGGAGAAATATTTGTATGGGCTACATTTATTTCTCTCGTGAATTTGGGTGTAATTTGTGGTTGTCGAGTGTGTCCATGGCACCCGCGACACAGGGTTTACCTAGTGCGGGGCTATGTTGAGCGTGTGCGTTTTTATTATTATTCGTTAAAATTTTAAGTTACGTCTTTTAGTGTCTTCTTCTAAGTGTCAATTTACTTTCAATAATGATGTTATATTGTAATGACATGAGGCCTAGTTGTTAGGCAGAGAAATTCTTGCAGTATCATGCAGCATCTTCCATTCGCTTATAATTGTTACAAAATAAAACACACTATTAGTCAATCATACAATATGTATTTAATATAAGATACAGTACTTGCGACAGGTGGACAAACCATTCTATTCAAAAAATCTTAATAATCACTACATTGAACGAATTCCAATCGAGATATTAAAATTAACAATCACTACTATTATGCCCAAAAATGTGTGATAAATAAAAAAAACTGAGGTAGATCACCCCTTTCGGGTCAAATTATAATAGTTTTCCGGATTCCGCCGTGGGACAAAGCAAAATGAGACAACGCATTAAACATTATACTATATAATAATTAAAATATCTACAAATTGAATATAAAGTAGTGCACACTATTATCGAAGCGTACGCTCCAAACTATGGATCAAACATTTACAATAAAGGAGAACATCATATAATAAACGCATAATATAGGAAACCAGTTGAAAGACAACTTGCGAACACTACCACTAAATCTACCCCGCGGTCAAGGCCGTAAGGCCTTGTAACCGCCGCCTCATCTTTGCCCGATCAGGCGCGAAGCAAATTACAGATACAAGTCAACCTCAAACCTTATGAAACACTTTAATTTACATTACGAATGAAATACAATAGACTCCATTTTCATAAGGTACAGATCGCCTTATAAGTGCAGAGGATTACTTAATTATAAATACTTAACTATTTACATTCGTTCTAAGTCAGATAAACAAAGCTGTGTTGCGAATTGTAAAAGTGCTAATTTTCTAACATTTAAAGTCTCAATTTCGACTATAAACGCCACAACAACAACGTTGTCTTTCTGATGACCTAACATCCTTGCGAGTTTTCATTATGCAAGTAGCCAGCGAGCAATTTAAATTGCACTAACATGTCAGTGTGTTTCGCACGTACTTGCATGATGGAAAAGCGCCTTTCCAGCGTGGAGTAAACCTAGCGCGTTTGCCTCGGCTGTAATATGTTTCACGCCTTTACAATCATCAACAGTGGTTGCACCGCAGAATAACAAATGCGGATGAAACGTCCACCATAGCCTGGAATCAATCAACGGCTTGAAAACTCTCATTGAGTCATAGGGTAATTTTGGGGTTAAATTTCTCCACCTAATTTTGGTGGCAATGTTTATTATTTGAAGAATGTAAAATATTATCATGAAGCATTATTTAATATTCGAGTGTAATAACTTGTAATATCATTTAATATTTCATGATAATACACTCAAATATATAAATAACAAAAATTACCACCACAATTAGAAAGAGAAAATTAACCTGAAAATTACCCCATTATTTCGCTGATACACTTCCAGTCTTAATGGCTTTAGGAAAATCATTGGCGACAAAAATTGTTCCCCACTTAACATACTTCTCATTTCCCGAAACGATTTTGCATACGAGTTAGTGAAACTGAATCTATGAGCAAATTACACACGTCCCACTAACATGCAAAATCTACTAAACATTCGACACAACATTATGACTATTGTGGCAGTGATAAAAATATATTGTTCTTTTTACGCTTACGAATTAATGTATATCAATGTTTTCAATTTAGTGCCTCGTTTGAATAAGGCTTTCACAAAATATGTCTCTGCCTAACTATCGAACACCTAATTCTAGTACGGAGATAGTTTCGTAGATTTCTTACTTTGCCAACAATTACAATTCATCGCGCCATTACTTAGCAAAAATAAATTTGTACTCCCAACTTACGTAGGCCTGTATTGCTGTACGAAATAACAACCGAATTAAAATACCATATTAGAATTATTTTAGAGACTTTACATTAAATAAGCCATCTAAGAAGTAACGCAATGACTCTCCAAACATACTGTTAATAAAATCCATCAAATCTACTGCCGATTAATTTGAGATCATTTCAAACAAGTCCATTTTGTTCATCGAATAAAAACAAAAATTTGTCTTTCTGATTTTGGTGTCGAATTTCACTATCGAAAATTAATTTATAAAAACAAGCGAGCCAATAAAATATGGCACTATAATCAGTGCTGAAAATAATTAATCTAATTTGTTTTTTAATTTATTAAAAATAATAATCAGTACATTGGAAAGTATCCAAAAGAAGTCTAGGTGTAAAAAAGCTTACGATCCTTTAACATACCGTCATTCAGGCACCAACTTGACTACAAGAAATTTTCCTATTAAATTTCTTTGGGTCCGCACCTAATTGCACTGAGGACGCCCTACGTTGTGTAACGTTGAGGACAACTTACTGACGTCACATTGCAAGTTAAGGTCACCTCGTACTTCTCTACATGGCGTTCTCCTAATAGTTCGCGTGTGTCCTAATTTGCGCGTACCTTAAAGTCTTGCCTAAGGCTCCCTCTATACGTACAATTTACATTTCAATTCTCAATATTAGACTAGGACCCGATAATCTACAAATGATACTAAAAATCTCCATTCCTGTCTATATACCTTACGTCGATTAGCAAAACTCTGAATCCATGGTGTTTTACAAAAAATTAAGTTACACCACGTTACACACAATTCATTCTAACTTAACACTATAGGCACTAACTAAAAACACTAGCGAGATCGTGTGAGCACAGAACACAATTTTCTTTATCATGTAAAATACCCTTATGGCTAAAAAGGCATTTATCTGAACATGTCTAGATAGGTAGAGTCAAGAGCACGTCAAACTTTAACGCTTTGTACGTTTGACCGTTCTTATATCAAGCGGTATGAAGTTTAAGTGTCAAGTGTAACGTTCTCTTGACCATGTACATCAAAAAATTCAATAACTAATGGACATCAAAATCATTGGCATATTGTTGCATTACTGTATTATTAATGTCAGTAATTAAAATTATAGAATCCGGATTGGAACCTTCGTTATATATAAAATAAAAGCACATAAATCAAGTTCGATTGGTAAAAAATAATCAAAATTGGCTACTTAAACCACATTTAAAATTGAATCGAAACATTTAACATTTATTATGATTACCATCAATATTAAAACAAAAATATTTAAAGACGTTGTGCGTGGAAATGAACCGCATTATCATATCACAAACCATTATTGCTAACATTAACATCGTCGATTAATTGAGGCACCTTTTTTGAATGCCGTCGTCACAATCTGATTGAAAATAATAAAAAAACAACAAAAATTAAAAAATTTCCATTGAAACATAAATAATAATTCTCGAACATTTTTCCTTCGAATCTGAAATATGAAACGCATTCGATCAGTTTCCGTTAACGTCAACAGATTCCTGAACACAACACTGTAAGGCAGTGACTACATTGTTCGAGGTAAAGCAGACAGTTGTTGATTCCATAAAGCGTCGTCAAATTGCTTCACGAATACTTCCTACAATTACAAATTATTAGTTCTGATATGACTACGCGTAACGTTACAATCTGATTGATATAAGTGAACACTACAGTCGGTGGTAGATAAGCCACAGTACAGATATAAACAGCTGATAAACTTTATATAAAAATAAATCCTCTGACAAGTTGGAAGGTAGAGACGGACGTGTAGAAACATTTTCATTAAATTTAAGAATTTAACATATACATTGTAATGTATATAGACGAAATATATGTATAATGGAAGACAACAGCACAATCTTCTCTGCTTCGCGACATCTCTTTGATTGTATTTAATAAGCGTTAAAAGGTTGTCAAAGGAGTAATATAGAATAAAGTACTTATTTAAAGAGCAAATTCACGCTGAAACAGCCGCTGCCGGGCTACACCGTCATGCTTGCCGCTTATAACACACTAGTATTGGACGTTGCATAAGACGATTTAAAAATAAAAGAGACGAACAAATTGCAACACAACAGTATTATACATACATTCATTCAAATAGATTAATTATCAATGATAAAATGATAATTTATCATTAAATATTCAAAAATTGTATGGCAGCATCTCAAACGTCATTAGTGTAATTGCTTATATCTGTACTGTAACGTAGCTGTAGGCACTTTTTGGATGAACAACTTTAAACGCGCTGTGAAGCCCCGTGCAATCACGATCACACATAATGACGCCGCAGGCCGCGGCGATGCGCGGTACGGTAAAGGCCCTTTGGAATTATGCTCGCTTGCTATTTACAGGCTGTGGAATCTTGGCTTTGTAATTGAATTGCTGTGATCAAACGTTGCGTCCATTCGACTGAAACACAACACCGTCAGTTTTGAATAATCATTTTAAGTCGTTTATTACATTTATTTTTGATACCAACAGTAAAAATACAAGTTGATGTTAAAAGTGTATATTAGTTAAATAGGGAGTAATTACTGCTGCACTAAATAATTTCGAGCCATAATTATTCTCCGCCATTTTTTAAAATGGCCGCGATAAGTGTTTTTGTTATCAATTCTTAAAAAGAAATCGTTTACTATGAATCTAGAATAAAAAATCGACACCGCAGGCCGAATCCGCTCCTGCGATAGGTATTGTTTCTCTCAAGAAAATGTTATTTAAATTGATGTTATTAATTTACATCACTATACCTATTTCCGTAAATAATACGAGGATAACTAAAACCGTCAAGTCAAATCCGTACCGGAGTCAACAAATCCACAATCGAAGCGACGAACGCAAACCCTAAACTTAACCATCTCATCTCCTACTCTACAAGTTATGTACACTTGGCAGTGTTGCGAATCGCTGGTCGTTCACCCTTACAACCTAACAAACTTAAAATATTCAGACTACTTCGTCTTAAACTTATTCATAAATCACCTATAATACACGAATACTCCAATTTACAACATCACTAACTATTTACATGTTTGTTCGGCTCCGAACACGTCGATCTATCAATTCGAAACGACGAATATCGTTATAAAAAGTAAGCATCAGTCTTGTGAATAAAATTTACGTCTGCTACGTAAACATACGTACACTTTTATACCATACGACCATAATACAGTAGCTTAAATCGGCTACTTAATTCACAAGGTGTAAATAAGCCTCACATCGAACTTACACGTATTAAACTGACTACTCGAAATCAGAAAACAAAACTTTAAAATCAAGGACGTAAGCTTCTATATTACATTCGCAGGGTCTTTAATTAAATTGAACATTACGCCGAAACTACGAAAGACAGTTGTCTTGGCGAAACGTCGAAACTAGCAGTCTTGAGCCGTCTTTGGCGATCCGTAGCAGCCGTTCGAAGAATCAACATCTGCCTCACCGTTCACATTATTTTCTCTAGCGAAGGTCGATTCGAGATTTGTTAGAACGCATTCGACAGTTTGAGCAATAGTTCTAACCGGCCTCTTACTTATCGTCCGCAAGGCCAGAATGAGTTCCCTCCGTGTCTACGTCCCATCTTGCGTTTCCTGGCACCGGAGACTTCTACTTTGTTCTCGTCTTCTTTATAGATGATTGGAAGGTCAGTAGCGCTGCAGCTGGAACGTTCTGCCTTTTTCTTGGCGAGCAGGTTATTGAGCAAGCGGGAAGACGTGCAGTGTCTGGCTGGCAATAGGCGAGCTGGTACTTGAGGGGTTGGAGCTGGTTTTTTCACTGGTGGCGGCGATGGCGTGTTGCGGTATGAAGCGCAAAACTGTTCGTATAGCACCACCTTCGTCGCTGCTGGCAGCTCGGCGATCTCCACCCGCTTGATCCGCTTCACGTCCTTCTCAGGCACCCATTCATCCTCGATTCTGTAAGCATAAAATTTTCGTTAATACTCAGTTAGTTGTGCCATACAGTGGCAGCTGCAAACATATGTTAGACGTTTCGGCATCTGCAAATAATATAGTATTAGATAGAAAATGCTATATTTTTTACAAGTTGTTGAGTAGGTAATTTCAACCTATGTTTGCAGCATAGTCGGGTTGCAATCCGAAAAGAAAAAGCTTTAAATTAACTTTTATTAAATTGCCAGATGACTTTGGATCGTGCTAGCTAATTTTGTGAAGGTACACAGCGTCTACTATAAATAACAAATAATGATGCGAGCGTGACGTGATTGCCCCTTAAAACATAGCCCATGAAAATGCAAGTATGAAAATGGTAATGGAAGTTATACTCTAAAATGAGATACTAAACTAAGCCATGGACCGATAACTGAAAAGGACTGCTAATCGCCATACAGGACAGCGTAGTCGGGTATTTAGTCTAGAAAGCTAGTCTAATTTCCAGTGATAACAAACGTGAGACGGTGTGTCGGATCTCGTTACATCGTCATCTCACCTCTTTGTATCGCCTCTCTCCGCTTGTGTCCTATCATTTTTTATTCTAAACTTTTTATATTTAAATATAAAATATATTAAAAATTTTTGTATTTAAATTTTAAATTTGAATTGTTCTATCTTCATTCACTTTCTCGTTTTGTTTTCGTACCACGGTCACTCCTAGCTCGACCGCCACAACAGTCGGAGCTGTTCCAAATTCCATCGCGAATAATCGCTAATTCTGGTTCTTTACTACGTTTGTAATCATTTAATAAGCTAAATCATGTGTAATAATTTATAAGCCTACAGCCTTCGTATACCTAAATCTGTAATTCAGTTACTCGGCCCATTTAGGGCCCTTTCTTTAAACTTTACTTTTTTAATAAATGTTGTGGACCGTAAGTTTCCCATTTCATTGCCGTGAACGTGTTCACGGCTAGTTAGGGTTACAACCCTTTCAAATGTAAGTAACTAGATGGCGGTTATTGAATAGATTTTTAAGGATAAGGGGCTATTCTTTTATTTTGTTTAGGATTAGAGCCAACTATCCATATTAGGAAGCGTTAGTTTATAAACTAGATAACTCGTACATTTCAATAATATTAGAAGGTAAAAAAAAAATTCCTCTAATGTTTCATATTAAAGAGGAATTAATTGATATATCCGGCCATTTACATAATATAAACTACTTCCAGGCTTTTTATCAGCGGCATAGGACGGAATTTTGACCTTTTTCAGAGTTACGATCTCTATAGTATGGAGATTAGCAGTCGTCTTGAGTTATTAATCCATCACTAAGCCAATAAAACTAAAACATACACTGTTTAAATTGCAAACGAAACTAAAGTTTAGCGCGAGTTTCTTTTGAATGAATGACTCTTTTATTGCACGTTAAATATTGTAAAAACACAAAAGATAATAATTAGATAGAATCGGCACTTTCAGTACATTACAACAGGCGACTTTGTTGTTGAGTAGAATTTTTTTCCGTATGATATCAAGTTAGGATATGCAAAGCAAGTGAAGCCCACTTTCCGTTAACGGATTTCAATAAAATTTCGCACATAGATAACGTGACGCTGTCCTTAAAATACTTAAAAGTGCCCCGCTTTCACAAAACAGACAAAATTTTTTTTAAATGGCGCGAAAGCGAAAAGTACATAAAGCCAGCCAACCAGACATGGAGCAGCAGACTACGCAAGATTAGCTCCTTTTTTAAAATTTTTCATTCATTATACGATTTTAGTTCTTTTTTTTTATCAATAAACATTTCGTACCATAAACATGTTTTAAAACAATAACAAATTTCTAGGCGTCCCGCTCTGAGTGAAAACAATAATGGTCACGTTACACAAAGATGAAATTCCAATGAAAATAAAATGTTACGGTGACCTAGAGGTAATCTGGTGTTGGAAATAACAGACAGATGGAGAAAGTTTTCAACAACGCACATCAGCTACGAGAGATTTTAACGAGATTTCCATCTGCGTTTCAATTGTCGTTGCGAAGACCGCGGCAACGAGCACAGCGAAAGCGAATAACCAAAATTTTATGTAACAGCGGCGGGCCGCGGAAGCGTTCCGGGCGCGGGAAGTTTTGTACGTACGAATTCTTATGAACTAGTCACATTGAAACGCGCGATGGCCGCGCGTCGGCAGCGCGTTTCAGTGTGGCAGGGTATGCAAAATATGTATATTTAGAAACTCGTACATTATAAAAATTCCCGCACCCGGAACGCTTCCGCGGCCGCCTTTATGTGACCTGAGCATTAAAGTCGGTTCTTATTGAAAAAAATTGAAGGTATATACTCTGCCTAAGTGATCTCTAGTGATAAACCAACAAACTGAGATGCACTAAACTTAAGTTTAGTCCGCACTTGCGTCAATTGACACATTATTATTAATAAGAGATTAGTGAATGTATTACCAGCCATTTGGATTAGCAACCCAGTGTTACTAGCAAATACTTTTCTATATACCATTTTTTCTATCCAATTGATATATAATAAATTTGTTTACAAATGTACAATTTTAATGAATCAATTATGTATATATTATGCTAGCAACATTCTTTTGTATTCTGTATGGCATTGTAATCTGGCAACGTCGACCATGCACACATGCGAAGCATGTTTTGTAAATATTGCAAAATTGGCTGGCTACATATGTTATGCCAGTTGGAAGAAATAGACATAATGATGTTAGTGTCATAATAGTAGCTTAGATATCAACTTCCTAACACGGTTTTCCTATCGTTAAAAAAAACAAGGAATTCCTTCCTCCCACTTTTCATATTTCAAAGAGATGAAAGGGAGGTATTATTTCCGAGAGAAGCAATAGCTGTCGATCTCAAACATGTTATCTTCACATTGTTAAAGAATAGCCAATGCAGTTTGAAATAATGAAATTTTGTGAGAACACTACTAGTAGTGTCAAATTTAACTAAAAGGATGATTTCAGTGAAAAACTACACTATACATTATTTTTTCATAAAATTACAAAAAAATATTTTGTTAATACCTGTACCCGGTAATGCGACTGAAAGATAAAACGGATTATCTTCTAGCTCTGCAAATCTTTTGCATCGGTACTATTTGTGATCTCACAAAAATTTCATTATTTAAAACTACATTGGCTATTCTTTAACACATAGTTAAGATTCTGTTGCCATCAGACCTTTAAGATGTACAGTGAGCCAAATCCTTATGTAATTAAAATATAAAAATTCATAACACGTTAATCGGAATTTTTTTAAATATCTTATTTAGATTCAGTGTTATTAATGTAATTAATAGTTAATATAAATCAGCGTAATTGACATTTTTCAAAGAAAAAAAAACTTTGAAGTCAATATCGCAAGTTACCAAATTGCAAAGGCGTTGTTTATTATATTATATTCATACATCGTAACAACTCTGCCCGAGTTATAATGCATAAATGTGAAATAAACAAATAAAGTTTTTTAAGAAAAATCGGAAAAATATGGACTGAATTAAAAAAAAAACCGTTTTTTTAACGATAGGAATACTGTGTCAAGAGGTTTCAGGGAATATTTATATTTTCAAAGGTATTTTTGTATCCATGTATAACACTCACTCCGATAGTCGGACGCAGCTGTGTTGTGCAGAATGTTCGCCATATTCTTGGCTCCGGTTTAAGGTTGTGATGTCACACTCAACACGAATGACAATGACAGGATCAAAGACATTTTGAACTTTGTATACTAAAACTCGTCGCAATAATATGAAACATAGTGTAGAGCATCAAGCTCTTTATGGAACTAGAGAGCCATGAATTTTATACAAAGTTCAAATCGCTCATGTCTACAATGATTAGAGAGAATAGTGGTAAAAATCTATAGCAGCTTTTGTGTATTCCAGCAGATTTAGCTTGAGCGTAATAGTGAAGCGATGTTTAAATTGTCAATTTTCTCTCCAAAATAAATTCAAACAACTTTACATAATTCTCTAATAATAAAAAAATTGTCTACCTTTTGTTTCACTATTAAATTTGTTTACTAACGTTCATGCTAAGACTGCTGGTGCTGTCCACAAGTCAATATCAAAAGCTATTATGTCCCTCTGCTCATTAACTGTCGTCGTATCTGATTTTGTTGTTGTTGTTGTTGTTGTTGGTAAAACATGGAATTTTACTCAGCTTTCATATGCGAACTTCTGCTATATACGTCATTGATATTGAGACGAACTACAGTCAAGATGTCAGGCGCTAAACTGAAAGTACGTTACCTTTATATAATGCTAGTAACGACAGTTAGTTGGGAGGGGGACCATATCATGCAGTATGTATATAGAGTGTAATTAAATAAGAAGTCAGAAGGATGCAAAAAATGAAAAAACTTTAGGTGCTTTTTCTTTTAACGAGTTGTTCGAAACAATATTACTTTAATAAATTTTCAAAAGATTCTCAAGACTTTATTGACAATCGTTAAAACAAATAACCGTTATAGGCGTTTCAACGCGTGCATTATACAAAATGCATAAAAATAAAATAGAATACATATACAATAGTACATTTAAAGACAAACCCCGTGACCGAACGGTTATCATGCTGGGCTGCCGCGCAGAGGTACTAGATTCAATTTCCGGGCACGGAGAGGTATTTGTATGGCCTACACTAGTGAATTTGGGTTTCATTTGTGGTTATCAATGTGTGTGTCCATGGCACACGGGATAAAGTGTTTTCCTAGTCCCGAACTAAAATTAAATTAAATTAAATTGTTAAATTCTATCATATTTACATGCAGTGTATGTTCAATTTTGCGCGCGCTGAAAAGACTATGTCGTAACCTATTTCGCTTCTTGTTTGAAAAGTCGAATTTTGATTTTACCTTTTATTGCACGACTTTTAAACACCATTTACAATTTAAACTATAAACGTGAAATTAAGAAAGTATGTCTTATAATTGAGAGAGATAGACATAAAGATGTTACAATTTCATATTAATATGAAGCACATATATTGTAAGGTGTTACATCTAAATTTCTACACAACTCACCTGAATAATTACCTGACATAAATCATAATTTATTAACTTGACAAACTCTGTTGAGTAAATCACAAACAATGTGTTAATAAAATCGATTTATGGTATAGGTGTACCAGAATTTCATGACAAATTGGGAAATTCGTGTTGGCAACACTTGTATATTTAGAATAAACGTTCTTGATACTTGTGACTTAAAACATTTTACTATAATTATTGAAGTGTTAATGTACCTCATTATTAATAGATGAGTATAAAAAGTAAATTCGCAAAAAGAATGCCATGGCCTCGCTTAAGCCGCTTGACCATAGTTCATGGATAATAGTTCAAATGACAAAACAAAATTGTTTTAGCAATCACAAGTCTGAAAGAGACAGCATTTCTATTTTGTGACGTCATTTTAATGTCGCCTTAGAAGCTACTTATATTAAGTATTTTAAGCCGCCTTACAATTAACCGTTTTACTAAAAAACGACAAATTCTCCCGCCACTGTATCTCACAATTAATATCTGTAGTGTTAATTCAGATATCACAAAATGAACTTCAGATATATTTTGAGTACGTTCATATCAATTGAATTGAGTAAATATACCATTTGACTATGAATGTTCATTCAACGTTTCGTACGTTGCGCTCACTTCTACGTAACTTGAAAAAAAAAATTCTAAATGTTTAATCCTCGTTGTCAAATCGCCAATCAGGGTTGCCTTGTAAAAATACCGAATCATGAGATTCTGGTGGACCTATAATTACTTATATTATGTTAAAGCCTCGTATTAATAAATCCATCTCAAGGGCAGTGTCGATATTAAGATCTCACATAAATAAAATATCTCCATTAATAAAATATCACTCGAATGAACTTAATTGCTCACTCAGTGTCACTAGAGACTATATCCTTTAAAATGTCTATGATTATTGTCTATTAATATAGATGAGCTTGAGAATCTTGAGACTTGAGTAATGTTTTTTTTTATTAATACGGACCTTGATATTTTATTTTCTATGTAACAAATTACGACCCAGCGGTGTAGAGGTACCAGATTCGATTCCTGATAGTTCCATTTGGAATAAGAATTTTTGGTACTCTATAGATAATACCCCAGTTTGAGGATCGGTGGAGTATTGGTCTGATACATTTGCAATTGACGAACACTTCATGTTCTTATTATATTTTTTGTAATGTCTTTTGAACGATTGCATATCTTATAAAATATCCCATCTTTTTTTAAGAGTCGATACTATCTTAGCACGAATCCAAATTTTTCCCGTACTAATAGTGTTCATTTTGCTTAGTTGGAGCAGCAGGGACACTGGCTTTATTTCGGAATTCATTTTTTTACAACCATTGAAGCCATTTGAAAAACGGACATCGTATACTATACGTGTTCTATTTAGGTCTATAGAACGTACGTATAGTATATGCAAAGTACCTATTGAATACAGCGGTTTTCTTGTAAAATTTCGAGGCACGTTTGTGTTTTTTTCTATCGTGAAAATTTTTAGGAATCGTGTTTTTACACCGTATAGTAATCAGCGTATATTCTCAATTCTTCTATATATATTTTTTTTTTTTTCAAAGTGATACAACACTTTCATTGATACATGGAATCAACCAAAGCCATTTGGGCTAGTATAGACTCATAACAACACAAATTTCTACACTAAACTTGAGTACGTCTTAAACCTACTTAAATTGATAAGACATCTTAATACAATGTATTAAGAATGTCTTTTGCATTGCAAGCTTTGGTCTAAGACATACTTAAGTTTAGTGCAAATGGACAGAAGTCTTTGTATATTATGTCTTCTGTAATGCCAAATACATACAATTAAACATAAGACGATCACTGAGCTCGTCTAGGCCCCGCGCCATCGAGTACATAACCAGAAATAGAAACGAAATATCATATAATTTGTTTGAAAACTATTCTGAAAAATCATTACGGTGACAACTGCGCTCCGATTGGCCAGCCCGAATTCGAAACAATTGACGGGTGTCGTCAATTTTTTCACTTCAAATCGACCAGTTTAACTTGAGCTTTGCTATAATGGACAAAAATTGAAAAATTACATAATTAATTAGCGACGAAATGATGTGTACTATATCAGTTTTCTAATTGGTGATTTCAGCGCAAACGAGAGTTGATATTTAGAAGTGATGATGAGAGAGATGGCCTTATTTCGTCTCTATTTTTGGTTATATACTCGATTCTCCACTCAGACGATTTTTTTTATTTTTTGTACGTGAATTAAATGATACTCCACACAGCAGATTAGAGTAGGGATAGGCAGCTCTTCGTACAAGAGAAAATCGTCATCGTAGATTTGATACGCCGTCATCCAATGTCGATTTCAACCGTGTCACTTTTTAGCTGATTCTAAGCCCAAATATAAAGTCGTTAAGGTTTTATTTTGACATTTTAAATTTAAGTTATACTTTGTTATTAATCGTATGTGGCGCTCTGTTCCTCAGACGCCACTGAATATCAGCGTCGGGTTGTTTGGCATGCACAGCCCGGCAAATGTTGAGTGGAGATCATATTGGATCTTAATGCTTAGCTATTATATATATTAAGCTTTACTTTATATTTGCTATTTGAAAATGTGACCAAATATTTCTTTATTTTGAAACATTCGCTAAGAACGACACGGGTGCAACAGACTTCGGGAAACGTCTTAAATTTTCGTAGCGCCTTCTAAGCAAACACCTTTCATATTTAATATCTTCAATCCTTCTTTGTGGGAAATTCAAAGTCTATTTAGAAAAGCTGATATTTGAATAACATACGACTCCATATTCTGAAGATTAATTGAACCATGTAGATTTTGAATCACTAAAGTTTCATCAAAATTTAATTAACTTTAAATAGATCAGTTTTAAAGCCGAAAGTCCCGGGTCTGATTTGGTTTTTCAATGACTGTTTCCAATCTGTCCGTTTGTTTCATAACATTTTGCATAGAACTGTACTTTTTCGATTTAAAATGGTTCGATAAGTTTCACAAATTAAGTTCTTAAATTTTAGCTCACAAAGGACATCTAAACTCTTCATTTAACTTAAATTGGAGATTACTTACACATTAGGCGGATAGTACGTCAGCAGTGCCTCCCGTCGGCGCTCCTGCGCATTGTATCTAGTCGCAGCAAGGGCCGCGTGGAGGGTAAGAGTGTGTCGGCCAGGGGGCTCTCGCAGTGGGCAGGAGCCGCCGAGTCGCCAGCGCGTGCTGCGTGACAGACGCCATGCCAGCCCCTCCATAGTACCCGCGTCGAAGAAGTCGAACATGCGCGCTGAAAATCGTAAACGACTTGTTGTAGTGACTTATAAGCAGAAAATCATAAATTAAATCATAAATTAATGAATCCAAAGTATTCAAAAACAGTTAGGTAATAAAAACAATAACGCTATGGTAGCCTAATGGGAGAACGATTGCTTCGTAATTCAATGATTGACAGTTCCAATCCTAGTGATAAATGCTATTTCTGTATGTGGGCTCCGAGACTAACACAGCTATAAGCTTGAGATAATAAATCTGTTGTATCTTCTAAACAAAGGAGTGACTTATTCTAAAATTATGTAAATAGAACCAACTTTTTCCGGATACAATCAAATCTAAGCTAGGTGCTGTGGTTTTCGAAATTCTAAAAATGGTACCGTCGTCATAAGCTTATATAGATCAGCGTGGACAGTAAAACATCGTTATGGGTAATTTTCAGGTTTGTTTTTTCTCTACCTTTCGATGGCAATCAGTTATTATTTAAATATTTTAGAATATACACAGAAAACTGAGTTAATACATACTATGCCCTGGTAACTCAAGCACAAATTATTTTATGTGAAACATGCCATCTATCCCTGATATCGGGAACTTTTTTGTCAGGTTTACCACTTTGTCGCGTGGCATATTTGGAGCAGGAATTGTCTACTTTATTTTTTGTGATAGAGTAGTTAATCTCTTATTGCAAATCGGCCGAATCAGTACATTACGAGAACTAACTTAATGTGGACCAATCTATACGTAGGTATTGAACATCTCTTTTCGGCGGTTAGATGTCGCTTAACGATAAGAAACTAACAGTTGTAGATATATCAGTTCGGTTACATACTAATAAGTCATTTCAATTTCATTTAAATGTGATTTTATTTCCAGACTTCCACTGGCCTTTACTATAATTTGGACAATCTAATGAATTTGCTTTATTCAAATTTGTAATTATGATGTTTGAAGACGCTAAAGAATTCTTTTAACAATATTTATAATAATAATAGTCGGACTTCGCCATTGTTCTTTGAATGCGATATTTTCAATATAGTGTACCTTCACTGATCGTTTACGTGATCATAGGAATAACATTACCTCGGTCTGAATCACTTCAGATATTTCATATACAAGGTGTGTTAGGGTGCCTTCAAATTAAGCGCTTATAGAAACGCTGCAGACCACCATGGCGTTTCAGCCGCGACGCTACTAATTTTCATATAATATTTAGAAGCGCAGTTGCAGCGCCGCTGTCGTGAACTATAATCTCAGTACAGAGTACTAAAAAACTCGACCTTAAAAGTGCGTGGTATTACATCTATTTGCCAAGTTTTATCGAAATCGGTTACCGGAAAGTGCACGAAACCGGATTCATCCCCTAGTTTGCCGCCCTCAGAGGTGGAATATTTTCTTCAAATTTAAACGGGACCACTACTGAGGTACCCTCTTTCCAACAAAAAAAATCATCAAAATCGGTTCACAAAAGTAAATGCCGTGAAAAAGAGTTACCGTGTAACATACATACAAAAAAAAAGAAAAAAATACAGTCGATTTGAGAACTTCCTCCTTTTTTAAGTCGGTTAAAAAATTACCCTAGCGCAATCGCGCCACTGCAGCATTTCTACATGCGTGTAATTTGAAGGTTTATTATGCGTCTAATTAAGGGGATAATGAAAATGTTAGTAAACGTTCTTACCAGACCAAGGCTGCCGGCGATACCGTAGTTTCTTTCCATTTCGTCTGATGAGCTTCGCACTGCCCTCTGAAGTCTTCTTGCCATTGCTTGTATTGGGCGACGCCTCGTTGAAGTGATTATTCACGTGACGTTCTAGAAGAGTCTGGAATGATTCACATTGTTCTATTACATATTGAATTAAAAACTTTGGAGTGTGTTTTTTTTTTATAGTTTACGAATTTTACGTTTTATTTTCTTGTGTTTTTATGTATTATTTATTTCGCGAAGTGTCGCGACACTGCGTCGCATTTAACCACTAAGTACTTGCTTTTCACACAACACATTTCCTCCTCGGTGTGGAAAATAAAAATGGTACATAATTCGTGAATACAACATAAAGAAAACAGTTGCGTTGACAGCTTGCTGTGCTTGGGGAGACTTCCTCAGGAGTGCCTTAGGAAAAAAAGACGCCCGTGTTACATTACACATAATAATGACAATAAGATACACGCCATTAGTGGACAGATGACGATTGAAAAGATACGATATCATTTTGAAGACAATATCCAATAGAATCCAATATTGGTTACGAAAAAAACTTTAAAAAATTCAACGGAAACATGAATGACGTGTCGCTAGAGAAATTATTAGTGTTTAGTGATTTAATATGTTAGGTCATTATTCGAAATAATAATAATCTCAGTACAGAGTAAAAAAACCGACCTGAAAAGTACGTGGAATTACATATAATTACCAAGTATTATTGAAATCGGTTATCGGAAAGTGAGCAAACTCGGGTTTATCCCCTAGTTCGCCACTATACGGGATTTGACATAGGAGATAATGAAAATCTGTTCTCACTACTCAAACAATATTGAGAGAGAAAAACGCCTTGAATTGAAGAATAGCAAAATCAACCATTAAAATAATTGCACCTTGTTATAAAATTTAGGCGCTATTTATAAAAATTAATCTTCATGCGTGAACAGCCACCCTTAGAGGTGGATGATTTTCTTCAAAATTAAATGGGACCACTATGGAGGTACCCTCTTTCGAACAAAAAAGAATCGTGAAAATCGGTTCACAAATACCGGAGTTATCGCGTAACATACGTACAAAAAAATTGAGAACCTCCTCCTTTTTTCGAAGTCGGTTAAAAAACAATATTTTTATTACGATTTTTATGATACTTATGATCATTTGTGATGGCCGTGATGCGAATGAAAAAAATATGACATGTTAAAAAAAATTGACAACTTTGATTTGAGAATCATGACAAAAATATTAGAAAGCCGAATACTTCGGATGCATAAATAAAGAATTCAATCGCATTTTACCTTCTTTTGACTCCAGTCCGAAGTTAAAATAGTGGAATAGACACATTAGAATATTAATGTTAGAATACTGAGCATCGTCTCTATATTTGTGAGCATATGTTTAACTTTACTATGGCCTAGGCCCTCTCCTTAGAAGATACACATACAAATTTATACAGCTTGGAGATATTTAAGAAGACAGTAGGAAAATAGTCAAATATTCTGAGTGAGACCTCTAGAAAACTGCCTATCCAGTTTCAATCAAAATAATAAAATGTCGAAGAGCTTAACAGACCAACATGACAAACCGACAGAACGATATAGACAATCGAGGACCCAATGATACAAGGACTGGCAATGAAAAACTCAATGACAATCGCCTTGTAACGATCGAGAACAAAATCGTGAATTCGTTTTGACGAAAGGCATTCCGCTATACACAATTACATTATGAGTGAAAATATACAAGACCAAATACAGAAAGAATAATTATTACAAACATAAGTTTCGAATTTTCAGTTTTTCGCGATTGTTACACATAATGAAACGTTTTTTTCGGATTTAAATCGCGTGTATTTGTCAAATTCAAATATATTTATGCGTCCTCGTTATTTTTTCAAACAAACCAACGTTTCGGACCCTTTGGTCCCGTGGTCTCGGCTACTGAGATTATAAAGACATCAACCAGGTATGTCAAATATTAATGCAAACCACCCCATTTTCTCTATAGTTACAAAAGTTCTTAATTAAATACCTTATTTTGAAATTTTCCCCGCTACATTTTTCAAGAATGTTCTTTTACTTTGAAAATTTAAAAATAAAAACTATAGAGTAAAATGAGATGGTTTGCATTAATATTAGATTGCAAAGGGCCCGAAACGTGAGTTTGTTTGAAAAAAAAAAAAACAAATTACACGATTTAGATCCGAAAAAAAATTAGTTTCGTTTCCTATAAGTAACTAAAAATTATCGTCATGTATACCACGATGTTATATGAAGGAACGTAATTATACCTGGGTGGAGAACCGGCGTTCGCAGCCGTCGACAATGCACTTGAAAGGTTTGTTGCCGCCATGGGATAGCGCATGACGCTCCAGCCACAGTCGTGAGCAGGAAGGCTTGCCACGAACTTTGCATGCTTCCCAGAGGCACACGTAGTTTTCCTTGCCGGCTTGCGTTTCTACGTGTGTCGCCTGAAATTTGAAAAAAAAAAAACTGTAAATATATCGTTACGACTTATGTGGATATTATTTTGTTGATTCTAGTTTTTTTTATGATACCAAGTGAGGAGACTAACAAGCGTGTGCCTGGTGTTAAGCGACACGCCAGTCCATAGCAATTGCATTGCCACTCAAGACCTTTAAATCGCAAAGGTTTGAGGGACAAAGCCTCTGCGCCAGTCACCCTAAGACATAAGTGACAAGTTCCATATGCCTGTAATTTCACCAACACCCTTACACTCCAAAACAGAGCGCAGTAATGCTCACATTATTGCTTGGCGGCAGAAATAGGTAAGGTGGCGGTACTATTGCTACTAATAGCGGCACAAATAAAATTATAAAATTTGTTTATGTCAACCCGTCCTACTACAGCGTACATTTCGCCTTACTATTAATATAGTTCTTTCTGTACATACATAAATAAGAAAGTAAGATGTTTAAGAATGTTGACTATTACAAAACAATCAAGAATGTTTATCAATAGCTTGCTTAGGAATTGGTACAATATACAATAAAAATTCATCACATACTGACCTGTAAATGTTCTAAAAGATCCGCATCACTATCGAACTCTCGCTTGCAGTTTTCCCACATGCACACAGTCACAGTGGTGGTGTCTGTGCTCGAAGTTCGTTTGCTGCCAGGCTTAGTCAAGATCCGCGGAGGGAAGCGCAAAGTCTTCGGCTGCTTCAAAATGGGACTCTTCTGACTGCACACTACTTCTTCAGAACTCACACTCACACTCAAGGACAACGTCGAATCCTCATCACATTCTTTACTCGTCTGAGAATCGCTCGGCGAATCGATCGACTTGTCCGTACCAATCCCTGACTCGGAAGACTCAGTAGTAGCATTGCAGAAAGTCGCTTCTATCACAGTACTCTGGACGTTCGACGTCACGTCCTTTAGAACGGTAATTTGAGTGAAGATTGTGTCTTCCCTCCGCGCGACTTCCTCTACCTTTCTCAGTTCCTTCTTAATGTCCTTCCGGGTTTCCTCAACTTTTTCCTCGTTCGCTTTGCTCTCCGCTTTTACTTTCAGTTCTTCGATTTTTTCCGATAAACTACTAACTTGCGCAAAAGGCCTCGGTGGCAATTTAGAATCTAGCGGGACGATATTATTATTAACCGTTTTCGACAGCCATGGAAAGTCACACTTTTGAATCGAAGATTCGATCGGTTCTGGTTCCTTAACGGTACTGCTCGGTGGATCCGTTCCTTGAATCGGGTTGTCTGGTGGCTTGACTGGCGCTATGGGAATACTACTTGAATGTAGCGTTTGATTGCTGAAATGCGTCATTATAGGCGGAGGATGATGAACTATAGGATTCGAGCACGAAGTCTGCGAAGACGATACGGTATTGGTACTTGTGTAGCTCCAAGTTTCTTTCACGTTGATATTTGGCACCGATGTTACGATAAAACCAGGTTGTGGTACTAATACAGGATGACTGTAGTTCACGGTATAACTAGGTTTTGACATCGTCATACCCATCGTTGGTAAGCCTCCCACACTTTTATTTACTAAAGGAATGGGCTGACTCGTCGGCGTTGCTGGTTTGTTCATATTTGTGTAAGTGGAAGTCATCGTATTAGCCAGTTTCAGTAGCGTGCCGTTTATAAGGATCTGCGCCGCTTGCTGATTTTGCAAATGATCCTGTCGTTGCGGTGACTGAGGAAGAACGAAGTTCGACATTTTTGCCATTAAATTAGGGATTTGGACAACTGCTCCATTTAAATTCTGCATTAAAGGAAACACAAATTGACCATTTAATTTTGTCGGACTTGTCACATTGACATTTGACCTGTTGAAAGCGTTTATATTGTTTTGTTGAGTAATAGGTTGAGGTTGTATACCGTTTTGCGGTATTCTTAAAGTAGTGAGCATTACATTTGGGGGAACAGCCACGAACGACTGAAGGTTTGTAGGCGTAACGGTGCCATTACAAGGCTGCGCTAAGTTAATATGATGACAGTTTTGTAAATTAGGAACAGGTACATTCAAATGGTTGAGGCTGCCGTTTACTGTAGTCATCGGAATTTGTCGAACTCCGTTTGGAATATTCATCTTTGGCGCTGAACTGGTCTCCGCGAGAATATTTTTCAAAGGCGATCCTTTGGTAGCGTTGGCACAAGTTTGTTGCTGTTGTTGCACTTGCTGTTTAAGATTGTTCGCCTTAGACCACGTTAAGTTTTTGCTGTTGGCTATGCAAGCAGAGGATTTACGATTTGTCTTTTTGATAGTTTGCGTAGGCACTATCTTTTTCGGAGCTTCCTTTTTCGGTGGTTTAGTAACAATTAAACTTAAATTGTTCGAGCCACACGTCACTCCGTTCATTCTGCTGTCTAATTTAGTCGTAGAGCTTACTATACCATTCATTCGAGTAGAGTCGGGTTTAGTAGCAATTACCTTTCTAGATGTTTGGTGGGCAGATGTAGCAGGAGCGATTCGGATTGAGTTGAAATCATTGAAACACGCAGGTATGGGTACTTTCCGGCCAGTGGAGTCTTGGTTATTAACTTTTACTCTAGCGTTGGCGGATGGGTCGAACTTTTTCTTGGCATCAAGGCATTGTTTCTTACCGTCCACCAGCCCGTTCAAAATACCATTATGTTTATCTTTTACTAAAGTTTCGGTTGTGTGCCGAATTTCTACTAAACCATTCCCGGCCTTGGGTAACTTTTCTTTGCTGTCCATAATTTTACTCAAATCAACTCCGTTAACGATGGATGTATCTTTATTGAAATCGGACAGTTTCGAGCTGGTAGTGGTTGTGCTTTTACGATTCATGGCTTCTGCCTGCGCCCCGACCTCAAGCATAACTTTATGACTGAGAGTTCGCGACAATAGAGAGATGTACTCCTCCAAGTCATGGGTAACGCCATTTTTAGGAAGGCACTTTCTCTTGGTGTCATCGTTTATGGCTGCGGATGATTCGCGTTTGATGCCGTTCTGGGGCTTCATTTTGTGATTGAAGTAGGATGTGATAGTGCGCCGATGGTGCGGTGGGTTGGGGCGGCGCACAGGCGCGGGCTGGGCCGCTAAGCGGCGCGGCGGCGGCGCCGGCTCGCTCACCCACGGCGGCATACGCGCTCCGCCGCTGCTGTTGCTGCTGTTCGTGCTCTCGGAGCCGGTGCTGCAGCCCGACTCCGGGCTACGCGGCGAGCGCGGCTCGGTGATATCGCTACCGCTGCACCCGCTGCTTTCTAATGGACTCAGCACCGCCACTCCACTGAAACAAGATAAAACTAGCGTAAGTAATTATAAAACATCAACATGTAGATTTTATATACGTATAGCATTACAATGGCGGTAGTCCATTTGCAACTACTATTCCAGTTAGTAATAGCGTCACCGATCACGTCTAATGACAATCAGCTGTTGAATGGGTGGAATCGATTGCGTGGGAGGTTAGGCGCACGACTGTGGCGCGGCGGTGGGGCGCGGGGCCGCAACACAAGGTGCAATGCCCTGCGTCCAGTAGTGCAGTGACGCAACGCGCCGCACCACTGCAACGCGGCCGCGTCCGCCGAACGTCTAACACACGCTATACGATTATTATTTTTGGAGGCATGACATTCACCGCACGTACCGTCTTGACGCTGCTTCGGCGTGTGACGAATGCTCGAATATATTTACTTCTCTAGTGTTATTGCGTTTAAAATAAAGATTCATTGCTTCTACTCTCATTTATGGGACAAGACGTCATTTGAGCCGGAAACGAAGAAGACTTTATGTTGAAGTACTAAGTTGTATACAAACGGAAAGTGATTATTCAGGGAGCATTCCCGAAATTGGATTTAGAATGTTGTGTCGAATGAGATCCTTAGGTATAAAGGTAACATGGTTTTGGCAACTAGGCCGGGTTACCCACATCCCACATCCGATTATGAACTTTGTGGTTGTACATTTGGAATGTTTTTCTAGGGTGTGCGGAGGTCGTGAGGGTGGTTGGGGTGGTCGTCTGGGTGCACCCTCGCCCTTTGTGAAGCCGCGAGCGTGCTTGTAACTGGGGCCTTACTCGAGGGGATCTTCCTCCCTCCTTTATCGCACTTCGCTAGAAGTTTTGTTACTAATTGACCTAATTTTTTAAGAACTTTTTTTTAACAATGCTCATCCCAGGTATCTGCAAGGGATCTTAATTTAAAATATGACAATAAGATCGTTAAGTCTGAAGATTTGTGGACTGAGCAATGTTTTATATTTCCATGTTTGTTAAAAAGGAAATGAATATACATTTTAAATTATACTTATATCTTTTTTGAAACGAGCCTTTCCTGATTGTAGCATCGTAAAGTCAAAAAGGAGAAAATTTTATTGGGTTTAACGAGTTTGATTGTAAGAAACTGTTCTTTGAAATAATAAAGTTAATAATCAACGATGATAGCTCAAAACAAGTAAGTATCCTTGAACCTAACAACAAAATAAAGGCGACTGTACTCATAGACACAATAACCTATAAGACTGAACACGAATCGGCGAGCTTGAAAAGACAATCGGCATTTTTTGCGAATTCTCGAAAGCAAAAGTGGGCGCGTATGTAAGTAGGTGAGGCAGAGTCGATGCAAGGTCGCGCCTGTGCCGATTTCGGTCGACGACCTGCCGCGGTTCCGCCGCCGCCGCCGCCGCCGCTCCTACTCGCAAACAGATCTACATTGTACTCGAATCGATTTCTACCGCGGGATGGTATGTATGAATGTAGTATTGTATAGTATATCGTTTCATGTTACGGCTAAGATATTATTATACGAAACTATATTCAGTAACATTCATATGTTACTGAATATAGTTTCGGTCCTCATGGGCCATAGGTATACCACCTAATATATAAGCATAAGTTTCTTTTGTGAAAGCTAATTTTCATTTTCATTGATCTATAAACATTGAGTTTGAGTTTTTTTTAGTACTATTTAAAATAACATTTTTAATAGCAGTAGCTCCTAGTGAAAGAGTTCGACCAGGGAAGTACGTGCCACCTTATCTATTTCTGTTGCCAAGCAGTCCCACATTCAACTTAGCAATGTGAGTTTGAGATTGAGTGAGAGTCCAAATCAGGGCAGTGCCCCTCAGATCTTTGCACTTTAAAGCTCTGAGTGGCTCTGCAACTGTTATGGACAGGCGTGTCGCTTACACCAGGCGCATGACTTGTTCGTCCCGTCACTTTGTATCATAAAAAAATATAAACCCAGCTTAAATAACTACTTTCTGTGGACACTTTTGGTTGGTTCTACATTATGAGAAAAATCAATGCAAATGTAAGGCATGGTTAGGTACCAATATTTTTAATATCTTTGGACCATCCTAGAGTACAAAGATAAGAAAGTTTGCAGTGTAATCAAAGTACTGATTCATTAGGCTGATTTATCTGCCGTTGACATTTCCGTTCAAATAGCCACACACATCAGCTTACATTACGATTGCCTAATCGGTTTTCAACGCATCAACTTATGGATATTTGATTTCTGTCCAGCGGTTGATGAACTTGATTCAAAATGGACACTTTGGCTATTGTGTAAATAACAGGCTGAAAATCCGGCTCTGGTATCCACATTCTTCTTGTTAGTTATGGAAAAAGGTTTTAAATTTTCTGCAAACTAGCCTAAGTAATTTCCTTCGACGATATTTTTAATAGATAAAGATGCAATTAAAAATAACCTTTTAAAATCTATTCATCGCAAATAATTACTAGCGTTATCAAAGTAATGTAACGGGACGCTCAAAGAAAGGTAACGCAACAATTGGGCGTGACGAGTCATCGCGATAGCGTCGGGCAAATTAACAGATAGGGGCGCTAGCGTACCGTGTCGCCCTACGCCGGCCCTGGCTTGTCGCCACTCAACACCTACATGAACGTGAAAACTATATTAGTATTAAAAATAAATAAACGTTCCTTTAAAAAGTAGTAAATCACAATAAGGGTCTTCCCTCGCCACGTTTTCATTACAAACAATAAATAGAAATAAACTCTCAAGCCTAGAAAATAGCAAACTCAAACTGACATAAAGTATTGAAACAAAAGACGATGCTATAGTATTGTCAAAATGATCCAAATTTGCAAACCTTCCAAAAACAACAATTTAAATTGTTATAAAACGTTAATCAAAAGTGCTAATTGCTGTAATATACCGAAAATGGCACTATTCTTTAATAGTAGCAAAATTAAGAATGAACAATCAATTCAAATTCCTCTGGCGGCGTGTACAGTCAAGAGCACGTCAAGCTTGACACTTTATACTTTGGACCCTTGTTATCGTAAGCGGCATAGAGTTGGATTTAAATCTTAATGTTAAGCTTGACGTGCTCTTTACCTTGATTACGGACGAAAGCGTTATAAAGCAAATCCATTGCTGGAGACGATATTCGAACAAAAGTGCGCTATAACACTGTTTTTGCTGTTGATGTGCTGTTTGCCTGTACTTATGACTTTGATTTCTAAGTTACGCACAATATTTAAGGTATTGACCTCTCGTTTAAACCTAATGTCGCAGAAGGTTCAGAAGCTCTTTAAAAATTCAAAAATATTCATCGTAACTGCTGTCGTAGATGTGCCGGGGTTGTCAATGGCTTTCTAGAATAGTGGCCTACTTTAAAATAATCTAATTCACCAGGAAGGTGCTTGAAAAAGCTAAGAAGCGTCAGCCGACCAAAGTTGACGAACCGTAGATCGTTCCAATTTTGTCATATGATTATTCTAACCAATGAAAAGCTTGGAACTCAATCAAAATAAATAATTCTCAATAAATCTCAGTAATAAAACAAAAAAGGATCAATTTTGGATTGGGCCACTATTCTTGAAAAGCAGAGAATGCGTTTCTATAAAAATCACAAATATTTAAAAATATCACATAAACTCGTACGGTGAAAATCAATTAGTACAAATGCTTATTAGAGAACAATTGCGTGACTCCTAGAAACGTGGTCGCACGTCATACTATAAACAACATTGTGGTTTACTATAACCAATGATCGACGAGCCTTGACATGACTAACGATAACTAAAGTCATTTGTAATTCCTTTTGTCAGCTACAAAGACAATCTTAACGTTACAAGTAGTAGGCCTGTAGGCCTTCTTTTATGCATTATCTGGGTTGTACCCCGTAAGTATTACTGCGGGAACTGTCTTTTGAAGCTCTTTCAACGACCCCACACCAACCTTCTCTAAGTAACCAAATCGAAACATCGTTGTTACATTGGCAAGTAATTATAATTCTTGTAAGTAAGGCGCGTCGTTTGTTGCATTAGGTCACATTATTTAGACTTTAATAACAGAACATAAGTTCACCACAAAATTAGAATTTTCAAGAACGGATCACCAATATTCATGAGTTAAACTAACCCAATGTATTGAGGTGCTGCAAGACAGTCCATCTAGCACTTGCTGGTATGCCCCTCGTCCCCAAACACCTGCACATGGAAATGGCTCAAGGCCACAGACAGTGAAAACCTGCACATGGAAATGGCTCAAGGCCACAGACAGTGAAATTAAGGTGATATCATATTACTAATTAAGATTGCAACATACTTATCAAATTATTATAGTACTAAATTAAAAACGACACGATAAGATAAAGGTAGTAGACTAAAAAACTGGCAAAGATCCTGGTAAAACAGCTCAAGTCTATCTATGAATAAAGCGATTGTAGTTACAAACTTTACGTAATACTAGTTTCTCTTTTCCTACTACTGCAATTGACGCAGCGACGACGATTGAAGAGAAGTAACAGCTATTAATACGTATGGCGATAACATTGTAGTGACTACTTGAACAGGGTGCAAATCTTTTCATGAGTAAGTAATAGGTGATAATAAATAAATTTATAGGCACGTTTACGAAACTAATGAAAAGGATCGATCCTCAGAAATGCATATAACTTTTCAGTTTCCACCTTAATAGACATTCGCTGCCGGCAATTAGAAGAATTTCTTCTGCTTCTTAGTGTGCCGCTTCTCTGCAAGATTGGCGACCGTCATGGCTATTCTCATTTTTGAAGCTCCCGCACGAAAGGGGGAACGTGTGCTAAGGTGGCTCTCTCAGGTTCTTCAACCACGAAGTTTCCTTCTGCCACGCTTTCCTTGTATTTTTCCCTGCATTACTAGTTGAAGCAGCAAGATATTGAAGACATAACAGCGGATATATAAGGCAATAAAATACTTCACATAGGGTCGCTTCAAATTGGGGCAGCGAAGCTGCTTATGCTCAAACTAAGAAACGTGTGCTGCGTGTATGTCCC